AAACTGCATGTACCCCCCCAAAAATTGTTAATAAGTGTTTTCGACACGTGTCTTGCACGGCTGCACCTCTGCACTCAATGAAACGACAAACAAATGAAAAAGACTCCTCTGGTTTGAACACACCGCCAAACTTTGTCGATCACCCTTGGCATAAAGCCGCGCTCCATCGTAACCGATGAAACGAAGCGCACGGTGAGCGGTAGACTTGAGCTTTTCATAGCATGCATGATTTCAAAAGGGGATGTCGCTAGAATTAATCGGAAAGATTCGGAGTTCCACCGAACTAGGGCCATCCCGCATAGCACCCCTAGATTGAGGGCTCCACCCTTTGGTAATACACAAGTAAACACAACATACGAAATGCTTTACTTCAACCACTACCTCCACAATTAAGATGCGAGTGAATGTTAGTGGAGGACAAGTATATTTAATGAAAAAAGGAATCAATCATTGCTCGTGCTTGGTCGTAGGCTCATCGCATTGTTCATGTTAACGTATACATTCTGTGGTACTAACATTCTTCTAGGCGTAAATATACAGAGACAGACACTTTTTGCTTTTTATCAAACTTGAGTTGTAAAGAAACATTAAAGTTTTTTTTTGTAATAGACTTACTGCTGAGAAGCGTAATGATCTTTTTAATCACATAAGCTGCTTCATTTTTGGCATTTCAAGACGTATTTAAATACCGCTTACCGGTAGCATCCAGATGACTAGAAGGCTTTTGCAGCTTGAACAATCGCGGACCTAGTGAGCAAGCGTGGGACGAATCAGCGTGGGAGAATTGAAATGACCGTCGAGTACATGCAACACATCGCGAAAGCGACAAGCCTTCTGTCACACACTTATATAGCGCAAGTAAGTATATGGCATCACCATGGCACATGCCGCTACAGGTGCTTGACACCTGCATCCGGCAGAGCGCGGACGCAAGAGCAACGCGAAGGCTACAAAACGATCGTGCGGTAAGCTCGCTGGGATGCATGTGTTCAAAGTGTTTTATTTAAAAACGCGTAATTGATCGACGAAAGTTCTCACAGGGAAGCCACAATGTCAGGGACAACATGTAAGATTTCCCGACCAGCTTTTATTCAGTTGAAAACCTTATATGCTTCATTAGGCGCAAAAAGCTGCCGTCCGCGTCACGGGTGTGAAATGGAGTAACGCAAGAAATAATCATATTATACCACTTTTCGACGTCATAATGATGTCACAGGTCGTGATATACGTGGAGAAAGTAAAGGCTACGAAGAACATCTCACCGCCAGGTAGTTAGCCTGCAGCTACCAAATGACTTGTCTAATTCCGTATCAATTAGGCTACGGCCGTGGTGGTCCACTTTGTTGGATATTTATATGCACGAACGCCTAGGAGTGTTAGTCAGCGCCACTCGTAGCCATGACGGCCAATTGTGGAAGACTGCTTTGCTAGATGGCGTCAGGTAGCAGGTGATCTATTTATATATGAAGGGACAACTGAGAAATAGGTTCTTGCGTACTACCTGAAGAAAAGTGTCTTGGAACGAAAACCCTCACTATGGATAAATAAAGGAAAGAAATTATGAGAGCGTATTTTTTTTTCTGTACCAGAGCTTTAATAAAACCATGCCTAAAATGACGCTGAGGATGTACATGGGATGTCAATTCTTCAGATATAAGAGTATTAGTTGCAATATAGATATGAAGAAAGGTAAGCGGATGGAGAGGCAACTCCGCCAGACTTTGCTTTCTTGCTGTAGTTAGTGATGATGCTGAAAACTTAATGTTGGCCCCGTTACTACTGCAAAACACTTAAAAACGGGGCATTTAACGCGTCCAGAGCCTTTCTGCACTTCATTATCTGCTGGTGTTCATTATCCCCATTACGTCGTGTCACACTGTGACATCTTCCCCGATCTCACAGGCGCTGCAAATCCGCGCATGGAACTGAAAGCTCCAAATTCGTCTGACAGTGGAGGCAGTGCAGTACAACCTTCGATGTGGAAAGCATTTGGGAGTGGCGGTCAGTACAATACATCGAAAAAAAGATAGATTTAGCCATTCAGTCGTCTCGAGCAAATGCCTAAGCGATGCAAGCTATTTCTTTCTATAATACTTTCATACTTCTCGAAACATCTTCCGTGCTCCAGTGGAGAAACCTATAGTTGTTCTGGAGAACCTAAACGAAGATAAACGATCTACATCTTCTTATTGATATGTGCTCGTTAGAAACCGTGGAAATAAGCAAGTGTGGTTCCTGATGTCTTGAGTGTACTGAACTTGTACATACGACTCTATGTTGAGAAGATGTCGACATAAGCAACCGGGCTACAGTTGAGGAATCAACTAATTTAATTGCCCATCTGGTTGCAAAAGAAGCCATGACTACTGCTGCCACAAGTTTTTTCTTTTACATATATAGGAGGGACCCCGGTAAACCAGCAGGTCTCTGCATTTCTGCAGCAAATTAAAAAGCAAACATACCATACACTCGACACAGATGTAAAGTCAGCCACTAGAGAATCCACGCAACATGTGACTAATGCATATAGCGTTTGCAAAAAAAAATCAATAACGTCGCACCGTCAGTGGTTGGTAAAACAATTGTAGACATTATGTGTAATTATCGCAAACAATATTACAAAAGCCTCGCTAAGAAGCTCCTGCATCAGTTTATTGGTCACAGCAGGGACCAAACGACGGCGCAGGTGAAGTCCGCAACCTATGTACTACATAACTACAAAGTGTCTATGCTGTACTGCCATGTGCTATGGTGAACGGCTTTAAGAATTCAGCACCAGCTTTAGCAAAAGCCTAACTCTCCACCTTTGCTAAACACGTGAATCGTGGCACTGCATGTAACGATCACTGCGAGTACGGGCCAGACAGCCACTGTCCGAGAGTTTTCTTGATGCATAAAAGATATCCTGTAGGTTTTCGTACCTCTTCTGCAGAGAAACTGAACAGCCGACGATGACATTCGCCGTTTCATTTCGTTGCCGTGTGAAAGAGCCTGCTTTTTTCCTTCCTTATTGTTCATCCGCACGTAAATCACCACTCCTCTGCGAATGTAGGCAGTGACGTCACGTTTCGTGCCTTATGTAAGTTGAGCAGCAAGAAGCTACGCACTCTTCGGCGCTCTTCCATTCCTTGACATCACTACTATCGATTTGATCGTTTGTAGTTTCTGTATCACCCGGGCTGCTTGTCTACTGCAAAAGTCGGAGCCTCGCAAACGAAGAACGCCAAATAGGAAAGTAGGAAGCTCCAAAAGAGCTGTATATAGCGCAGTGCGATGTGAAAGAGAAGATAGGAAAAAAAGACAAAAGAGCATTGATCAGAACAAAAGAGGTAAATTGCAAGAGACTAAAATTAGCAGAAACGTGACTGGCAACAAGTTTTCTGAGCAGGTATTCTAAAGGTCCAGATACGACTTTTTTTTTAACCAAACAATTGCACAAACTTATAGAAGTCGCTTGATATCCACTAAACCGGTGTGTCATAGGACTGCCTTTTTGGTCTACCTATTGTAGTAACGCCGACTGTCCATTGTTCTTCTTGTTATTAGTATATCACCGATGATTTTATTTTCAAGTTTCAAGAAGACAACGCGTTTCCTTCCTAGATTGTACAATATCTTGCCAGTATTAATTTTCGATTTTGTAAAAATATTTATTGGTGTCTATTCACCACTCAGCTTGATACCTACGTCACTGATACGATGACCACTCTTTTCGTAGAATCAAATTGAAAACCAACCTGCATCCAATGTTCAGCTTCTTCCTTCTTTTACAAGTGAAATCATAATAGACTCTCGGTCCCAGTACTGCCAGCTAGGGCAACTAGAGTCACTGAATATGCTACGTTCAGGTAGCAGAATAGCGTATTTGTTTTCCAACGCAACTAGCAATCATGCCCTGCGGAGAAGCTGGCACACAGGCACACTGCCGAAAGTTGTCGCCATCCACCTGGGAAAGGTGCCAACTCTCCGAGAAAGGTGCCCGGCTCAGATTTATTCGTGTATAACCGGAGGGAATCTGTTTGCCGAGTCATACTTTTTTCATTTGCTTTGAAGGTATGTGCCACTGAAAAAGTTGGAGAGGAAAGGGTAGAAGGGGCAAATCAGTCGACTGAGTAAAAAGCTAGCTTTTACTTTGCAGTCGTTTCCAACCAATGAATAGGGAGTAAAGTTAAGCTCTCCCTTTTTGTAAATCTCCTCGGTGCATCCTCTGTGCTTCAGAAGAGGAGCGTGATGACCTGGAGATCATCACAAGAATCACCGAATACCCTTCGCTCATCATCTACTTCTAGGAACATACCAGCCAGTACAAGAAAAGAAGCAAATGCAACAAGCGGAGGGGAGGAAATAGGAACTGCAGAGTGGATAGGTGGGTTGACCGAATGGGATGATTGAGTCGAAGAAGAAACACAAAGGAAAGAAGTAAATAAGGAAACAAATAAAGAAACCACGTTCACGTTGTGTAAGCGTTTTGTTCACCTCGAATGGATAGCAAGAGTGGGGAAGAGTGATTGCGCGGATACATGAATCAGCTGATAGTCAGGGTAGTCGCACTATTTCAGTTCGCCAAAAAATACACAACACGTTATGCGCAACTGAGTGGGACAGCTCCACGTTCGGAGTTGTTCAAATTCATAGACTGAACACTTAATTGCTCTAGCGTATTGCCGTTGTAGATACGACTCCCCATATTTATGAGACGCCAACAGAAGCAACCGAGATACAGTGTATGAAACAAGAAACTGCGTCACACTATTGATGGAAAAAAGGCGGGAAACTATTGCTGCCGAAAATCTCTTATCAAGCAGCCAGCGCTGAAAAAAAGCAAGTCTCTGCACTTCTCCAGAAAAAAGTAATTATGTCATCAATTCGGCAGATATGAAAATTAAGCACTGAACAAACACCGCAACATCACGTGCACAAAACAATACAGCATATAATTCCGCTGTACCGTGTCATTGCTTTGTAAAAACTTTCTGAAACTCCTCGTAATGCTCACCCAATCTGTGAAAAGCCCCATTAGGGAGTTCTTGTCTCAATTTATTGACAACAGTAGCAGAGAAATTTCAGTGTCCTGGGCAAGTCCATCACCTTTGTACAAACCGATAGTTGCAGCGCGGGAACTACCCCAACTAGCCCAAGCTGCCACACTTCTTTGTACAAAGCTTCAAAGTGGTCGTGATGAATTGCATGAGACAGTTGCGAGCTGTTTCAAGAATGCAGTACCGGCTTCTATATAGGCCTAACCATACACACCAACCGAAAACATTGATCACTGCGCTACAAGCAACATTCGCCGCGAACACGTGACCTCAGTGCCTCAATTTTAGCAGTGGGGGAAAAGTGCCTTGTAAGTTTTACAGCTCGCCTACAGAGGTAATAACCAGCCAACGATAGAATGTACGTTCATCGTTGGAACATGTTACCGTGTGGAACACCATACGTTAGCCATTTCTCAAGATTGATTCGCGCAGCAACCGCAGCTTTCGTGCGACTAGAGAAACCTGAATGGCGTCTCATTCTTGGTGAAAGTTCAGCAGCGAGAAACGAAGCAATCATCTCCGTTTTTCTGCGTCTTGACGTCACAACTATCGGTATAATTATTTTCATGTTGCGTCTTCACATGATTGGTTGGTTCGTGGCTGATTGTTGCTTGTTTTTTGCCACTTCCTCCAGTCAGCTTCGTGAATATCAGCTTGTCCAGTGCAGCAGTCGGAGCCTCGCAAACGAGGAAAGCTAAATAGGAAAGTAGGAAGCTCCAGACTAGCAGTGCGAAGAGCAGTGTGATCTGAAACAGAAGTAAGATACGTCGAATGAGCGTTCATCACCAACTAAAAAGCAATGCCTGTGGTAAAATAGTGCAAACGACAAAATATAAATTCTTCTGAAGGGGTATTTCAAGTGGTCCGATGCTATATTTGTTTGGCCTTACAACTACATAACTTCATAAGGCTAGCTTTAGAGCCACGAAACTGGCATGAAGTATCTGGAATGCCTTTTATACTGGAGTAAAGCTGACATTCCAAGTTGTTATTGCGACGTAAGGGATCATGCTACAAGTTAACTTTTGAGGAGAATAACGTTTTTTAAATAAAAAACAAGGCTGATCCTCTTGTATATAAATAGTTAAAAGAAGAAAGTAAAATGTGTCTTTATAGAGGTAATTGTGCGTTTATTGTATATTTCAGGAACAGCAACAAATTGCAAGGTCATGTTAAGAACGGCCAGCGTCTCGAAACTTGCAGCGCACACCTCATGCAAAAAGCATGCACGAAATTGTTACGTACAGGACGAGCACAGGCTAACAGCTGTCCCAGCTTGACACTTCAAGCATGCAGTTCAAACAGACAGAAAGGCGCACGAAACAGGTGCCCAAGTATATATACACAGGACAAGCGCAAACAGCTGTCACAATTATTCTTTGTCGTGTGCCAGCAGCGTGCTGCTTTCGTAAACACAGCCACACAGCGTGTGAAGTGCCCTTCGTTCTCTCCCGAATTACGAGTCTGATAAGCGCGCACAAGAGACTACGCTCCGTGAAGGTGGCGCTTCGTGGTGACGACGAACTTTAGAGCGCACTTAACGCTAGACCGTCGCACCATCTCGCCAATGAAAATGAAAACACGCTAAAGTTTAGAAGCTTCGAGGACTGCGAAATGTTGTAAGGCGTGTATAAATGGCTTTTCCTCAGTACTCATACAACGTACGCTCCGTGGCGTTGGGGTAAGCGCAGCGCGCTGAGAATCGAGAGGTTGCTGGTTCTATTCTGCGCGACAAATTCTTGCCTCCTGGTTTTGTTTTGTTTTTTTCCTTTGCGATCTTATAGTATATTTTTAAACGTCACTTCTGTTATGGAAGTACGTCATCAGAGTCGGGGTGGTCCCTGGCATAAAACACTATTGTGTTAAAATTACTCAATATCTGTGTTAAGCGTAATTCATTTTTTAATCGCAACGCAATCGATGTCTTTTATTTGTCTTTAACGATCCTTAAATGTGAGGAGCCTTTTCCAATGCTACATTTTACCACCGCCGAGGCTACCTCATAAAGCTCTCATAAAGCTATATATTTATTTTTTCTTTTGTTAGGATGTGAAACAATCATCTTTATTCACCTCTCCGTGGCACGAGAAGCCATTCAAACTGCATCTCTGTGTTGTTGAAGTCACTAGTTTTATCAGCGCAAAAGACACAAATTGCTGGTAACTCACAATGAAGGGAAGAAGTGTGAATTCCTGGCCCGTTTCTTTGTTACAGAAAATATTAATGAGAACCAACAGACATTCATACCGATCGGTGTATAGGTATTGTTATTAAAAGTAATTTCACTGTAAACGTGAACAAAAAGAAGCCCACGCAAAGATAACTTGCCACCGGCCGGATCCGTAGCTGTGACCTTCGAAAAACGCGTCCGATGCTCTTCCACTGAGCAACAGTGACGATCATTTCCCGTACACTTTATACGGTATATATATGCAATTAAACGTGGGCGAATAACTCGGCGCCGACTATTTCCAATGCGGCGAGTGTGAAACAATAGTTTTCTCCTGTTGGCACTGCACATATCTACGGCACACATGCACACGGCACATGAAACATGATATTCAACAATCAAGCAATATGCGGCCAGTTACGCTCGTCAAAAATTAACCTAATAGTACATTTAATACTAACCAAACTTGAGTAGTGATCATTATATAGTCAACAATGCAAACGGAATAAGCCACTAATACAGAGGTAAACGTTGCCTTTCGGCATTTCTTTTTTCCATTTTATTTTTACACCTATAAAATAGATTCACGATTGATGCCCCGCAAAATGGACGGTGGGTAAATATTGCCTATCTGCGATATTTTATTAAAGGGTGCCCAGGCTATTGTTTCTGAGGGTATCGCAGTTCTCCCCTTGAGGCATCAAAGCCGCCACCACGTCTACAAAAGTGCGACGACAAGCCGGACAGCCACATTTCCCAGTCTGGGATTGTAAATAACGGACTGTGGGCGTCAAAAAAAATTATGTCCTAGCCTCATGCTGAAGCTATAGTTTAGACAAAGGTGTATTACTCCCTCAAGACTCCCCTCTTTCACCAAACCCCGAATAATCCCAGTATGAAAGACGCTATTCACCTGATTGAACACCGACCAGTACCTTCGTTCTCTGGACGAGTAAAACCACAGGTGTAGGAAAGGCACGTGAATGAGGTACACGCCAAAGGAGAGCTTGCTCAAGGGCACGTAGGCGTTCCACGACAGAAGCTTCGTCAAGGCCCCTGCAGACGTGAACAACAATGAAATGAAGTCCATGAGCTTTAGGCAAAGCAGTGCACTCATTTGTAACCTGTTCGCACACGAAGTTCTTCATATGTTCATCGCGTATACAGACCAAGTATAGAAAATTTACGACGGAAAAAATGGGCAAATTCATAACATGCATTCCCATCGTCTTTATCACTCTATGTGAGCATGCTAACTAAAGCGACTACTTCCCTTCGTTTTGAGAAAAGACGGCGAGCTTCCGCTGTATGTTCAGCTTGTCCCCTTTCTGGTAGAAAACGAGATATATCGCGCGACCTAAGTCTTGCTAGATCTCGGTCCTGCGCTCGCAACCAAAAAGTGAGAGCGGCCATTGAGCGCTCTCGAGTAGGTCGTGGTGATCCTAAAAATCACGAAAATCTGTTCAGCGGCTGTTTAATTACTACCAGTCGTATGTAAGCCACACCAGTATAGAATCTGAATACAGTGCTCACGAGCGATGTGCAACGAAGGTTCATTTTATTACGAAGTATTCTTAACAAGAGAATCGGTCATTTGAGGCTGTTTTTCGCTGAATTCCTTGGCCAGCATTACGGAAATATTTTCTGGGCTCTTATAACAAACCAAACAATATTTTCATAAAGCAAGAGGTCCTGTAAACGAGGCTCTGAATATAATACTGTTGGTGTGTTACGCCCTAAATCTATGATAAGACTATGAGAGATGTTGGATAGTTTCCAAAAGTGTAACCATCAGGTTTTTTTGACGCGCAGCTAAGTCTAACTACGCGGATGTTAAATGTTTCACCATTAGTTCTAAGGCCACGATGACCAGGGTGACACTATACGAGAATTCCTATTGAGAGAGCAGGAGCACTCAAAACCACACTGAAAGTACTTTGTCCAAAGCCGGCGTATTTCAGGGGTCAAACAGGAGTATGATCACACTCATCCAGGGTAGAACGAGAGTGCTTTGGCGGCACCAAGAGCACTCGGAAGCAGGTCGTAAGCACATGGAAGAGTCACGTGACTTTTAAACCTCACATCATCCGCATTTGTTTTAATTTTGCGGCAGCTGGCGAGTGCGGCGGCAACATAAACAGCCACTTGTTTGAAAGCACTGATGATGGCCGTATAGCTGCACCGTTTGTGCGGGTAGCGAAAATGGCGCCTACGAAGTGTATACGCAGCTATGTTTCCTGAAGGCGTCGTTGCGCAAGTGCGAATCAGCGTAATGGCGATCAAGAAGCTGACAGTTATCACGCGTACTTTGCTGCTGCCCTGCATGATCATGCCGGTATTCAGAATGTTTCAATCACATGGTACGATTCTCCCCCCCCCCCTCGTCAGCACCCTTTCATCTGCTCTTCAATAGTGTGCCCCATTCCAGTAGAAGATCGAGTAGTCATGCTCTCCGTGTTCTGCCTCTCCCTCTAAGTCCTTCACCCTACTCCTGTACTCCCTCTTTCTCATCTTTGTTGTCCCTTTCCCTAATCCCCCAGTGTGGGGTAGCCAACCGGATGCCTTCCTGCCTTCTCCCTTTTGTTGCTTCCTTCCTTCCCTCCCAATGGATTCGCCACATGAACTGGATGAGATGATGCTCTACCCATTTGTTCTTGTATTTTCATGTATACACAGCTATTACATGCGTGACCACCGCTAAGCGGTGGAAGCGTCGAAATCTCTACAAACCTTCCCGACTGTTGCCGACTGTTCCGATAAGATTGCGCACTCGACGCGACGAGTCATGCTCATTCTGGAACTATCGCGGCCTTAATGATAGCGTTCAGATTTCTGCTGGTTGTATGGTATATAAGGGCTAATGTGTTCACCAACCTGCAGAGCACGAGCAGGCGACCGGGCTCGGCGCTATTAATCAGTGTCTCTTATTCAGGTCAAGACGGGTTCGCCGAAGAATATCTTTATTTTAGCTGCTCAAATTAACCTTCCTGAGCGTCACAAACGCATGGCAATACGAACAACATTATCCAGAAGTTTTTAACTTGTGGGAAGTATATATGTGTTTACCGTGCTATCAGCGCTTGACTTTAGCCCTTGGCTGTTTTACATCACATTAACGCTAGATATTTACAAAGTATTGCATCTGCGTGGCTCTGTTAAGCGCGTTTTGAAACAAAAATGCATAAATATTCTGCCGCTAGACCCCCTCCGATGTCTTCAGCGTCATCTTTACATACCCAAGTGAGACGAACTAACTTGCTAATGGGAGATGTTGACACATCGGGTGAGAAAACTAGATCACCACCACCATGCAGCCTGCATTAAATTGTAGGGTGCACTCACCAACAGGCATAGGTGCTACAACGAAGGATTAACAGAGGAAAGTTAACAGAAAAACGTTAAACGTTACAGCTGGATTCTGGAAAGGTTGCACCGCTTACACAGAAAAAGAACCTCGCTGACCCCAACAACTGGTATCCGGGAACCTGTGATAAGAAATCACATTAGGTTACGGAGCTTCAAATTCTAATAAGACTCGGCGGCTGAATGAAAAGGTAACATCGAGCACGCTGCGTTCTTTTGATGAGCAAGTAGAAGCGAAGCGAAGACCGTTTGTTGAATTCGCCCCCATTGAGACACGGCCGATTTTGCCAGCGTTCGAACTCGTGCTGTTGCCCTTAGCGTTATCACCCTATAGCGCAGATGTCTCATGCTTACGTTAGCCAGTGGGCCGCAGTCATTACATGAAGTTCTGTGAGGGCCGTGGCAGTGTACAAGGTTAAAACGAAGTGGGGGGGGGGGGGGGGTGAACTCTGTCAGCTAACGTTGCCGTATGAAGGCTTTTATCATCGATCATATATCGTTCATTTCTGCAGGTTGCTTGCAGTCAAGACGCAAAGCATAAGTATACCGATTGGCAAAATGACTTAAATATGGACGCCGATTCTCAAGATAGGTAATCAAGGTGGACGATTGGGCCAGTTGGTGATAAATGATCTAAGAGTACCACGCGGTAGAAAACACGGAAGGGAAAAAAACAAGGACAAGCGCCGACTATTAACTAAAGGATAATTAATCCCGCATTGCATATATAAATAATAACCAGGAAGAAAGAGAACAAAGACATGCAATAAGGGAAGTAGTATTTGAAAAAAAACGTCAGACTTCATATACGCGAAGCACTTAAGATAGGGTTTACGTTTCGTAGTTTTCTTTCAACACATGGTTATCACATGGGTTGCCTCACGTGAAGAATGCTTGGGACCAATAATGTCTCAGCAGTTCCTGGGCATATTTATTAGTAAAAAAATCACAGCCCACGGAGTGAATGATTATGTGTGGGGCGAAGCTTTGAAGGGTTTCATAAACAAACAGTGATTTATCCGTTGGCCGCATCTGTCCAGCTATCCGTCCGTCCGTACGTCCGTCCGTACGTCCGTCCGTACGTCCATCTGTCTGTCTGTCTGTCTGTCTGTCTGTCTGTCTGTCTGTCTGTCTGTCTGTCTGTCTGTCTGTCTGTCTGTCTGTCTGTCTGTCCATCCACATGTCCGTCTGTCTGTATGTCTGTCCACCCGTCCATCCACCCATCTGTCCATCCATCTAGTGAACACTCCAAGTGCCGCCATCTCGCATCCTTTCCTCATATTATCATCATATACAAGTACCGCCATCCACAGGACATTCCAAGAACTAAAATGAGAGGTGGCTTCTACATACAGGAGACGAACGACCCACGCCTTGAGGAGCTTCGCCCCCCAAAAACATGGCATGACGAAGGATATGTGCGAAGTGGCCTGCTTGCGAAAAGTCCACAAGCCGCATATTTCAGACCCCTGCGATGGCGCAAGGACCCCTGCGTCGTATGCTTAACGTGCTACAGTGCCATTGAAGAATATAGTGAAAATGTACGTTCCACGTAGCTTCACCGGAATGAATAACGTGGTTTCGATGTTCTTAATCTCATTACGGAAAAGTTACAGCTACATCTCGCTCTGTGAACGCGGGGCATGCGCAAGTGAACAGGTGCTATTCCACTGTGTCACGCCCATAGAATGACTCACATTGTTCACCCAGAAGGCTTTGACGCACTCCACGACGGGAATTTGACAAATGTGGCACTTGCACTTGCTCGTAAAACTTTCGGCTATTTACACAGTGTTTTTTGTTGTTGTTGTTGCGCAGTTTTGTCGGTAAGGTAGATACGTCATTTGATGTGCACATGTAGGTGAAAGATGAGTGAACACATCATAGAGAGGCAGCTAGTACTTGGCTAAAACAGAGCTGGTTGCGGGGAGAAGCCGGACAATTGGCCACGAGGACCTCCAGCAGATAGACTTGTGGTAATGATGATATCTTTAGTTCTCCCCCCCCCAAAAAAAAAGAAAAAAAGGTGGGGGGAGGAACAGTGCAGAGATTGGTTGCGCTATTTCAGAGGAGGCCGGCGGAAATCCCTTGGGATACCACAGTCTCAACCGCGCCCCGCCTGGATCGTTTTGACGTGACAAATGGCATGCTGCTCGCCTGCTACGTGTGCAAAAGTCGCTCTGGAACACGACATTCGGGTGTAATCGTGGTGCGCAGTATTTTGTTCTCAGCGAGTGAAGCTTAATTTCGCAAGCTGGAGACATTATCCCCTTATAGGCAGTGATAGGTTGCGTGCAATGCAGCTTTTAATTATAACAATGTAACATCTAGGCTTCAACGTCCTAAAAGAAAGATATCTTTACGTGACGATAACACCGTGAGTCGCAAGCCACGGTGCAGCACAGTCAACTTCTCAAACTTCCTACTAGACGCCTTTTATTATGCTCCACTATACACTGATGTCAGTGAAGCATCAAAACAATATGATTGAGCGACGCCGTAGTTGAGGGCTGCAGAAATTTCAACCAGCCGCTGTTATTTGACGCGCACAGACATCACACAGTACACGAGCCTCCACCAAAATTTGACCGGCGTGACCGGAATCGAAGAAGCGACCGCGGCGCACTGCAAGCAGCTTCAGCTTACTGGTGAAGCGTTCGTGGCCTAAAAGCCAGACGTATGCCAGCTGTAATATATACTCCAAGATATATTCTGCCCCGCCGCGGTGGTCTAGTGGCTAAGGTACTCGGCTGCTGACCCGCAGGTCGGGGGATCAAATCCCGACGGTGACGGCTGCATTTCCGATAGAGACGCAAATGTTGTAGGCCCATGTGCTCAGATTTGAGTGCACGTTAAATAACTCCAGGTGGTCGAAATTTTCGGAGTCATCCACTACGGCGTCTCTCATGATCTTATGGTGGTTTTGGGACGTTAAACCCCATAAATCAATCAATCATCAATTCAAGAGATATTCTAAGAAAGAAGGTCCCCAACAATTGGGAAGCACGTGTGGCGCCCACTACGAAAGTGTGCCAGCAAAAGTGCAGGAAATGCAGTGTTCCATCCCGCGACACAGACCGGCATCCCATGAGTGTTGTCACGGCGTAAGTGGCACCACGCAATGTCCTCAAGGCCAATGGACCCCCCGATATGCGCCGGCGATGGCATAAAATGAAAAAAACACTAGAATATTGCTACTTCACGGGACACTAAAGTGCTTCAATGATTTCTCTTTAATGGATAAATATTATTTGAGAACCCCAGTTTCTCATCATTTTGTTATTCCGTGCTTATTAATACAGAATAAAAGACAGGTCAAAGTTTTATTTATTATTCGCGTCAAAATTTTCAATCATGACGTAATGAATTTCAAGCAATATGTTTCGTATTTGGGCACCAACCGAATGTCCGGAAGCTCGGTATGCTGTGTCTACGGCCCTCTCTCAGTGTGATATACACCATTTTCACTAATTAGCAAGTAGGTATGATCTATTAGATGCTGTAAAAAGTCTACGACATCACTGCGTTTGGTTCAGAAACTGCAAGGTGTCGTCACCACCCACATTGTCACTTCGTGCGTTTTCTTGCTTTCTAAGCGTATAACTTTGTGTATAACTTTGAATTTGTAATATATTACTTCGCGGAAATCGATTGTCCACCCGGTATACTTCAACTATAACTCTTTTTTTCCTCTCTATCTACCCCCTCTTTCTTGCCCCTATTTCCCCGCCCCCAGCGCTGGGTAGCAAACCAGATGCTAATATCTGGTTAACCTCCCAGCCTTTCCTTTCTCTCTCTTTCTCTTTCTCGCATACATTGTGAATGAAAATTCGATGCCTTACCGCCTCGGCCTGTGCTGCACGCGAGCGTGATCCAAGCGAGGAAGAGCGTCCACAGGATGCGGTCCAAGAAAGCCGCTAAGAGCGCCACACCCACTGGCACTGGATCGGGGCTAGTGTACCAGGCGAACTTCACGAACACGCAGAACAATGTGCTGGCCACTGTCCCGTACCAGCCGACGCGTTGCAGATTCTGGAGAAATAAGCGCAAAACACATATCTTTATGTAGGTACATGATATCATATACCCATGTCTAACGAAACCAGTATACAGGGCTACGTACACTGCACATACAGTGCGTAAGTGGGCTGCTCCCTCGTAAGAAGACTGACACAGACTGGGAACAGCCCGTTGGACTGAGTCAGAGTGAGCACGGCTGAGCAAAATACTAGGGAGACCAAATAATTTCGGCTCAGTATCACTGGGGCGATTTCGAAATTGGTTGAGCCTGGCTGAAGGATACGTATTTCCGGGAGTGTGAATCCGAATGAGTTTAGCTGAGCCCAATTTTAGTGAGCCTCAATCTGGGTGATCTCGACTGAGTAGAATTGCACTTGAGTACTGGTCCACAAAATTTCTGAGCAAACACATTTTTTAGAAGGCGGGGGGCAGGGGTGTATGCAAACAACACTTTTGCAGTCCGGCTCATATTAGTGAAGTATCTGACAAGCAATCATGGCATCATACGAGCAGGAATCGTCATGCTCGTCACACCTGTTTTCCATCTGTAAGGGTGGGGTAGACGTATGCGATTTTTATTTTGTAACCATCGTGGGACATAACACCAGACTCCAGACGTCACGCCAGACGTCAAGGCAATTCGTGCCAACATGGAGTCTTTGGACGACAAGTACGGGCTGAAAAGTGCATGGCGACATTACGTAGGGTAATGAGCTGCCCTTTACAAGCCAGCGTTTGATAAACAAGCTCGGGAAGCACACGACATGCCCGGGACTAATCTAATTACACAAGCACTTTGATTCCCTTCGTGAGATTTGGCTCAAAGCAGATAAATCCGTCCAATAAAGCTGCCAGCTCACTGCTTCGTATTAAATCGGTTTTTGCAATGCGTCGAATCCACCAAAATTTTGTAGGTTGATCAACATTCTGCAAAAGGCAGAAACTTTATAACGTGTCTAAAGCGACGTATGTTGTTGCAGAAACAAAACGAACCAAATTCGATTCAAAATGCCAGAAAATCGGCAACGTGCCGTATCGCACGTGATATTTAGTCACGGAATAAACGAAAATGTGAGCGTTATTAACATACGTTTTTCAGTAATACACATGTTACGCTATGACTATAAAAAACAAAAGTTTTAAAAAAGCGCTTCATCGCTCTAGACTGATCGATGAATGCTGTTTATCGTGTTTCGCTTCTTAACGTGGAAGGATTGACGAATAGATACCTTAGATACCCTGGCCTTCCTGAAGTCTTCTAGGATGAGGTACGTCAAGCAGCCGCCGAAGTAGCACACGGCGTGGTAGTAAGGCCGGATATAGTATTCGTCGAGAGTTCGCAGCATGAGGCTGTGCCGTTCCCGTGCAATAAGAAATAACAAGAATGGTTCTGTAATAAGCACCACTTCACAGCTTTGTGTGTGTGTGCGTGCGCGTGTGCGTGCGCGTGCGTGTGTGTGTGTGTGTGTGTGTGTGTGCGTGCGTGCGTGCGTGTGCGTGTGTGTGCGTGTGCGTGTGCGTGTGCGTGTGCGTGTGTGTGTGTGTGTGTGTGTGTGTGTGTGTGTGTGTGTGTGTGTGTGTGTGTGTGTGTGTGTGTGTGTGTGTGTGTGTGTGTGTGTGTGTGTGTGTGTGTGTGTGTGTGTGTGTGTGTGTGTGTGTGTGTGTGTGTGTGTGTGTGTGTGTGTGTGTGTGTGACGTCCCCTATAGCCGCCTCGACTTCTTCCACGGGTGCGTCTATAGCATGCAAAGATACGTTCGGCCTCTTTCCTAAAACAGTCGCTATGTCATTCAAATAGCGCCAAACTATACGCATGCGTTATCCGTGTTGGACTCAGTTATTTAACTATAAAACGCAACGCGTCATCGGTGAGTGTCTTCGTTGAAGGCGCACTCGGATGACGCTGCGCGCGCCATCGTAAAATAGTCTCGCCATTAACGCACTGAATCTCGCGATGGATCAAGTATACGCATTGCTTTGAGCATTGTACGGCCTGCGCTTTCGTATTCACACTATAAGCGAGCACTGTAGGCTACCTCTGAACGCTGGTGCGTGGGCAAAGAAATGTGAAGCTGAATTCACGAGACTTTTCATTCATAAGTGCATCTTTGGCATGCGCCGATAGATACGCCCAATCCCATGATCACCTGAAGTTTTCCCTGGCAAACATCCTTAGGCGTAACAAGTTTCTGTGGATGCAGGCGCTGGTGCAGTGCGTTTTCGTTAAACGGCACTACAATGTTGTCTGAGCTTTTCATTTAGGTTCCCCGCTGAGTGCAATTGATACTGACATTCATAAATGCAAGATCGTTCTCAGTATACTCACTCTGGAATCGGGCCTGGAAAGATCATAAATGGTGGCAGATGAAAGCCCGCCACGACGCACGTTGAAACGACGCAGCCCAGCAGAGATAGAAAGATGAATGTTGTCAGGATCAAGATCTTGCGGCTGTAAATTGTGCGCCCTCGTGATACCACGCCGGTTGAGGTGTTTTACTAATCTTTACGCACATATCCGACGGAGGGCAACATCAAAGTCGGCAATTCTGATACAATATAATATATATAAAAGTCGTCATCTGCCACATTTACTTATAATATACCAGGCACATTGCTCGAACAAACGAAGTGTAGACCGTAGTCCACAAAAACATTAACAAAACAAAACGTGCACAAAACAAAGCCAACAAAACAACGTGAAGCAAACTATGTGCATATCTTTTTAAGTTCATCTAAAATTTTATTAGAACGCTGCTTCTTTCTCATATACGGGAGTTGTTTTGTGTTGTCCTTTCTTGAAACGTAAAATACGCACGTCTTTCCAAATGTGCCCTCATTTATTGAAGTTAACTAACGGACTATTGAAGTTAACTAATGGTTTGCAACGCGCGTCTTTGCTTAAGTAGGTGTGGTCATGGTCTAAATACTTTCGCAATGAAAACAAATACCATTTCTCGTTATCTCCCCAATGGCCTGTGCTTGTCATATCCTGTGTTTGTGTTATTGAAGGTAGACTGTCGTTAGGTTCGGTGCATGACCCTTTGCATGTTTCCCTCTGTCCTTTTTTGGGAACGTAGACAGTCTGGAATAATGCTTTACGGCCATTGGCTGAATCATCAGGCTTATTCAATAACTGGTTACACGACTATGAATTTAAGTAAAAGCTCGCACTCAGACAAAACACTACGTGTATCGAAGCTTAGGCACGAGATCAGCATAGTGAGCACCTAGTGTCGCACTGTGATGTCGCTGGGCGTTTCAGTTACAAGATATACAATAATTATACGTCTCTTTTGAAGATGTCTTGCCTTACCAATTTATCACCCTAGAGAGGCAGGTCGTATGGCGTGTTCCAGTTCCAGTCATTTATTCTAATATGTAGCCAAGAGCTTTATATACTTGCAACGTATAATGAAAGAAGCTCAAGAGTAGGCGTAGGCTTCAAGAGATGAAAAACCCTGGAGTGAGCGTTGCGTTGGAGACATTTTTTTAAAGAGTTCTTGTCTTATTCAAGGCAACAAGCCTAATTAAAGCATCCTTGCCGCTGCCTTCGAAGAGACAAGACCATTTGTCCAAAGGCTGGCCTCCACGGCACTCCTTATCTAAAAGTTTCTCACTCATTTAGCTAATTCATTTGAAATGTTTAGCTACACTCATTATATGTCGTTGTTCGATAGATCTGCTCACCGTTTGAGTATAAGCAGAACCACAAGAGAGACAGCAAAGAGCTGGAAATCCGTCGAGAGGTACCACACGTGCACTACGACATCCTGAAAGAGAAAATGGTAATATTTTGCAGTAACGATGTTCATTTCGCTATTCGTCCGCGGAGAAACGAAACTCGTTCATGCTGTTTTTGGTCTGTGTGGGTAAAATCTGTAGCTATGTGTCAACAGCGCGTCCATGTTTTATTTAAGTGACGAATAGCTTTTTGATGAACGCAGCGATCTTTGCCGACTAATACGTGCTGATCTGCATATGAGATGTGATGATGGATTGAGTGTTTGCAAAAGAAAGCGAGATTGAAAGCCAGATTCACATTTCCTAAACACTCCTCCTTTGGCCCCCTTTTCGGGCTTGTAACTACGAAGTTTTTACGAATTGGTAGTTCACCGATAAGCCGTCACATACTTTTTCAAAGCATGCCAGAACGAAGTATGCCAGAAGTATGCCAGAAGTATGCCACAAGTCTGCCAGAACGAGACTCCCTCTAATAATGAAAGAACAGCTTCTTAACAGATAACGTGCTACGTGATAACGGCAGCAAAAATAAGTGTTCGACACTCGCTGTCGTGGCCACAAGCGGGGCTCGCTAACACTACCAAGTTTAAATGCACAGGCATGTCCTAACATGTGCACGGGAGGACGATTGCCACTGCTATATAGCTCAAGTGGTAGAGAATTGGACGCGTGATTAGAAGGTGTCAGGTTTGGTCCCCAATGGCGACAAGATGTCATTTCGTGCAGTTCAGTTTCTTCGCACATTTATCGGGGCTATACGAATAACATCCCCTATAAAAGTTTGTAGGCTTGGTAGTTTTTCGTTTCACAACATCCTCCGACTACATGAGATTCCTATCGCGTTTTTTTAAGACGATAATCTTTTTGTGGTACTTCAACGTAGCAATCTTGTTCTGTCTGTCTTTCTGTCTGTCTTCAATTCGAAACAATTCAACCACATGGCCAAAATTTAAGCACCTCATGAACGCCCAGCCATCTCTATCTGGTGTCTTCCGTGATACGTGTGAGCATTTTCGATAAAAAAAAAAGCAAATAAGACGCACATCTGAGGCACAACATGAATAAGTATGTATTACGTGATGCGTTTCTTTACTAGAAAATGCATATATACCTCATTCTAACGACCATGGTTGCTTCTACGCTGCGCTGACAATGCGACACTATGTGTGCAAAACCAAGGGTTTTACACGCTTCGCTCAAACAGTAAGATGCTGCCACCTACCAGTGGCTCTACGTTCTACATTAGCTTTTCTTTTCTTACATTACTGCCAGATGGCGTTCATACCTCACACGACACCTCTGATTAGAAGACTATCGTATTTCGATTACATTTGCAGCTTAGCACGCAGATACACGGCTATTTTTCTAAAAAAAGCAGTTTCAAGCACTGAAGTAGCTGACTGGTAGAACGCCTGCTTGCTAAGCAGAAGGTCAGGGTTCGCGCTCATTTATTTGCATCTATCTGAAATTTTCACCCAAAGACAACGCCAATTTTTTCGCTTACAATTGACTATGCAAACACCGGAATTTCCGCTAAACGAGCTTTTTAATGCTATCGCACCAAATGAAAAAAATCATCTCCATGAAACACAGCTAGGCCGCTATCTAAAAGATGGAGAAATTGCATGCTGCTTTTAACACTTTTTTTTTTTACAGGAAACCGTTTTAAGGCACAATTTGCGAAGATATTCCTCCAAGAACACTGTATTGCAGACCTCCGTAAGCAAATGCTTTCAGAAAATGTAAACTTACTGTCACAGATATCGTATAAAAGTTTCTGATCTGAAGAATTATGCGCCACCAGTTGGAGGACACATCATTGTGTAGATTTTGGAAGTACGCCTTCGTGTTTGGGCCGTCGATAAACGGGTCGAGTGCATATAGGCACATGATGATGAAAAACATTGGAATACACGTCCTGCGGAAGAAGAAAAGAGGCGATTACTCTGTATAGTTAACAAAAAAAGCACCGACGCACGTCAATTCAATCAGCTCCGCTTTGCGTACAAAGATTAAACATCTAATGTGGTGGCGTTCCATTCGTCGGGCTAACGCATTTCTGTGCTTTTCAAGTCTTCAGATAAGCTGTTTCATTGATGTTTAATAAACTTATTTGCTGAGCTTTGAGCTGGTAGCGTAAGCCTCCAGCTTACTAACCACAACACATCGCGTGCCAGTGGAGTGCTACTATGGCAACACGTACACCGTTTGCTTGGCTAAGTTTTTACTTCCTTCTTGGTGCAAGGGATCCGTAGTGGGATTGATCCAACCTCTGTGACACGCATACGTGTTTCTAATTATGATAGTTTTCTTACGGCCCTCACAAACTTATGTCGCACATAGCTGTTTGTTAGTCTAAGTGTTGCCACCTTCATTTTTAGTGAGCCACCGGTGAGTGGTGCTGTTTACCTAATGTCTGTGGTGCCTACCCGTTTATAATGTCCAAATGCGTTGCCATGGATCCCGGACATAAAAGACTCGATTCAGAACAGCTTCACTGTTGATAAGATGAAAAAGGAAGCTCTGCATATGGTTGGTTGCCAATCATGTCGTTCCTTCTTAGAATTGTTTAAGAAATGTTTATTCTGTTGCTGCACATGTACTCCCATAGTTTTTTCTCCCATAGTTTTTTTTTCAAGATTCGAAACAATTCGTCTAGCTTTTTACCTGATCAACCGTCTCGTAACGCCGATAATGAAGACGATGGGTCCGGTTCTCTTCTGCCTCATGATTGTGAAGCACAGGAAAAAACCACTGCGAAAGAAGGAATACTAAGAATACTTTGTTTCAAAACACCAACACTTGTAACAAAGTGAAATGTAAGTTTTCAGACAATCTTCATATCTCTTTGAAGTCGTCAACTTAAATAAAAGATGTACACTTTAGAATGATTGAAAGCTGGGCTAGTACTCGAATATCGCTCAGACACACAGCAATCACGATGCAGATGAGGATAAAATGTCGGGATTGTGCTTTGTCTGGGCCTCTCCTTTCCGTCCGCGTCGTCATTGCCTTGTGTTTGAGAAATGGAAGATATATAGTTATCAGTTAAATCTCATAAGTGCAATATTATTCTTAGAAAGGAGACGACAGCTGACAACCCGTGTTTAGCGACGAAGGCTGCTCGGTACACGCATACTATCATGTACACTTTTCACCCCCCTCCTGTTTTCTTAGTCTTTTAGATGCGAAGCATCTTATACTCGCGCCTTGTAGTGCGCCGTCCGCACCGCTTCTCGAACATTCATTCGACAGCTGACGCGCGCGCATGCGCCGTCGCGCCGTCGCCCACCATCTGTGCCGCGCGCTCGCTGAAACGCGCAACGCACGACGACTGCAAACACCACCAGCCGACCACCATTCGCGGAACCTGCATCGACCACGTCTTTGCAAATTTCGACCTACGACCGATGCAACCCGATCCACTCACTCTTTACTTTACCGACCACAAAGCCATCGTCCTCAAAGTTCGTCGCAATAAATAAAACACCGCCCTTTCGCATACGCACCGTACGTGTTCACTCATTTAACACCCCATTTCACAACCACGTTAACCAATTTAGCCATCGACCCAAGTAAGTCGCAATTTAACACCCGTTAACCAATTACATGCTTCCGCATCCTCCTCAGTGTTCCCCCGAGGGAAGCTGCGGGCAATTTTTTATACTGTCGTGAGGACGTTCAAGTATCGACCAGCGCGGCCATTGTTTGTTTCGTCGTTATGATATGTGACTCACAGTATTATTAAAGTCGATCATTTCTCGTTTGTGGGCTGCTGGAAGTTTCCGGTAGAGTTATTTTACTAATAATGCCACTTCATATTTATCTGCCTATGGTAAGGCAGAACGTATTCTAATCTGTGACGAGCTTTTTTGGGGGAGGATCGCATGCACGACTTATGAACAATCTTGGTTCCAGCAGCAGGCCATTGAAATTATTGAAGCTCCTTTAGGCAACAGTATAATCATTATTACATTTTTCGCAATGTATCCTGCACCACTCTAGCATAAGTTCAGGGTAAGACTTGCGTCCAAGCACATTTTCCTGTTTGTTCCCTTTGAGGAGTGGCGTATTGTATTTTGTAATGTTCTGTCTATTTTTATAACTTTATCCTTTAAAATTTAGGACGTCACTGCTGTTGGCTCGGAACGTCGTTGCAAGTTCGGCTGTTAATTTCGGCGTTGCATAGCTAGGTCGGAATAAATGCATGCACCTTACTCATTGCAGTGATGGGGCCACTTGATCATCTCTGGTGCCCTTGACACGAGCAATCAAGACCACACATATAAGTTTAAGTTTAATTTACGTATTTCATTGTTGTCTAGACAAAACAGCCTTTCATCGTACTACATCGTCCTAAGGCTTACTTTAGCAAAAGAACTTGTAAGTTATGGGCGGATTCGGGGCTGCCAAAACTCCTTACCTATATCTTCAAGGCGTGTCACCACTTTATTTTAGCAGAAAATCTTACGAAATTGTGAGTCTAAGTTTACTGCTTTGTGTCTACAATGAGATGGAAAGTTTTCAAAACCTTCTAAGTGTTCTAGGTAGAAACAATATAGTAGTTAGGACCTCATTTTTATTATTGCCCAAAATGAACCAATCACGTCAACAATTACAACTACCAATCCTACACACCGTCGCGCATCAAATTATATCTCACAATATCAACAACCTATTCATGATATTCAATTATCCAGATTCACTGTACAGCATAGTTTCTAGAGAAGCATGAAAAGTTTCATTTAGAATTATAGTTTATTTTTTCAAAGTTTACCAGGTTTTCAGCTGCGATTAGCATGTGAAAATTAAGATTCAGTAGAAACAAGGATGAAGTTTTACAATCGTGCTATATTGAACCAATAATTGCGACAAAGACACAACTTTCAAACGAAACCAGATAAAAACAGTTTTGATTGCTAAAATCATAAAAATAAAACTTTTTCCTCATAATATTTTAACAAGTGACTGCAAATCTTGAATTACACTGAGGGAAAACATACTGGTTTTTAAGGTAACGAAATACACCACATTCAAAATTAAAAGACGTACTTTATAGATGTACTTTGTCTGTCGTCCCACTTATTCCTCCCGTATTTGCCACAGTTACACCGTGCCTATCCTCAACGTAACTGACCTGAAGTTCCATAGTGCATTCCTCATATTCAGTGTATCTTTGCACTTGCCTGAGAAAAAAGAACGTGTCCACGCTGCTGAATCCGGCTGTTATGATCATAAACGACCACCTCTCTGACAAGGTGAACAAGTTCAACATTCCAGCTGAAAAAGAGTCGAAACAGGTTCCATGATGTTATTCTGTAATAGTAGTTGTTACTTCGTATCAGGTAATGACAACAAGTGCGAAAAAAAGGTTCATTTGACGCTAGTAATGACAGCTGGGGTTTACCATCTAGAAAGCACGGTTGTGAAAGACGCTGTAGTGACAGTGTCAAGAAGTTTGGAACGCATGGTGGAAAGTGCACCTAAATATAAACACCCGGACCTCTAGCATGAATTTCTGCCTCCGTCGAAATGTGATTTTACCTCCGTTAACATGTAAAGTTCGTACACAAAGCAAATTTACTTGTGTATTACTGAGACCTGTAAATACTATGGCAAAGAGCAGGCTTTCGAAATAAAAGCAAGCAGTCGCCGCCGGCTGTATTTGATTCAGTGACCTCCAACTCAGCGCTCAAGTACCATCAACCCCAATCAACGCGGCGGCCATATTTTGCACATGTGATTGTGGCCACACCATTATTCTTACACCGTAGGCCATACTTTTCTCCAAGGTCATCACTTGTTGTCCTATTCGTTTTCTATAGTCTGTTTCTTCAGCGATGGTTACTTCTCGATCTCTGCATGAATAAATTAGGTATTTAAACAAACAGAAAGCGAATTAATTTACGCATCTATATGATGCCTATTAGCTGTTTATTTTTCAATCACTCACTTATTTACACGTTTCGAACAACGTTGTGGTATGGCCAACGCGCAGTTCAATTACAAAATTCTCTGTCTTTAGCAGTGAAATCTATAAGTGTTAAATTTCTTTCACGAAGTCATTAACCACGCATATTTTGCATATTACCACACGCGCTTGCGCTGCATCTGCATGTGTGTATTTGTGCATTCATTCGAGGTCCCAGGAGAGCAAAAGTTTATGCGGCGAGAACAGGAATCCTCGCGTCACGGGCAAGGACAGGGTAGCGTCACGGCGGGCCTCGATACCCATGGCTGGCTGAGCTGGTTTGACTACCGATCTTAAGAAAGCCGCTAAAAAAACAAATGCGAGAAAGCGGGAACTGAGAACACAACAAACGACAGTCAACACATACTCACACCACGTGTCAGACATTATGGAACCGCAATGGCCCAAGACAATGTGGACGATGCCGAAGAATCGCATTCCGTGGAGAAACTGCAGTGCGTATTGGTCTGGCTTAGCCTTGTCGGCAACCCTGAGCAGCGCACGTGTGTTTGATGTCACCGAGAAACCGGTGACCAAATCAAATAGAGCACCTGTAATGAGAATATCACGTTCACTGTTTGTATTTCTGTGTGAATGCTAATGAAACATAGAGGACCCTACAAGGTTTTGGTGTGCTATAGCCATTTACAATTGCTCTTCGTAAATAAATTGTTAACACGTGGTGCAGAGGGTGGGGTGGATCGACCAATGAATCTACAGGCTAGCGTAATGAGCGGCCTTAAATCGCTTCCTATGGCTTCCCCGTGCTGAAAGCTGATCGGCAACGTTGAACTATACCATGAAGCTTCAAGTTTTCCCCTCCATGTGTGAAGTACCAACCGTGCTTGTTGCATGAATCCGTCTTTGTACCACGTGAATGTATTCTTCTCTACTTCTATCAACACTGTGCTAAGCTTATTTTTCCTATAACGCATAGCCTAGCCGTCAGAAAAGCGTAGGTCACATCAGCCGCCTCATCGAACTTGAAGTTGCGGAAAACAGCGCCCACATTGAAAGAGTATCCTAGAGTGCATGTGTTTTATACGAAAGACCTTTGGTCTCGAAGGGTTACTGCTTCACTTCTTTTTAATGTTGTGCCTTCTTGGTGCATGCCTGTACAGACCAGCGCTAATGAAAAGCGGGCTCATGAAGGAGCAAAATGTAGTGCTATCTCGCCGGCACACGGGGCCTGTAGATTAACCACAGATTAACTACTTCTTTTTTGCAGCAAGAGCTGTTATGAGACCACATTTTCTGTGTTTGACGCAATGGTTGTCCTATACAAATTCTACACAAACAAAGAATTATCCAATGGCAATACAAGAACGCACAAGAATAAAACGCACACAAGAGTAACGACATCTTTATGTGCAAGAGTGAAAATCGTGGGCATTACCAATGTATACGACATACAAGCATACAAACTGCCTACAAAAACAAAACATTCGAGAAGATCAAAAAGTTAGATTGTGTATGGTTTTTCCCGTACTCAAGTAGTCTAGCACAAACAATTTGGGAGCACCGTCATGCAATTTTCAATACTTTCTTTTAAAGAAAGCCTTTTGAAGCGTTGGCTGTGCTACAGTAAGTGAATCAAGCGCATTCCATTCGCTTATTACGTGAGCTCCTATGCTGCACTAATTGAATCGAGCTCATTTCATGCTCATAACAATAAGAGAAAGTTTCATAACAGCGCTACGCAAAGCTCCGCCTTTGTATTGCGCATAAATCGTATGCTAACTGCTTGCGGGCTCCCGTTAAGAGATGATCGCTAACGTTACACCAGCAATGACCGCAAGCTTAGCATACGCTATTCTAAAAACCCCATTAGCATAATATACGCTTCCCACATACACAAAAAAATATGACAGTTTATGGCGTAGTGGGTACAATGAAAGCATGTTTGCAGGAGTTGCTCCAAGAGTGCTCTAGGAAGGCAGCTCTTACAACTTTCGCTCTGACTGTGCTGAGCATACCACGCAGGCTTGGCGTATATTTATTTTTTTTACTATTGTTTTTGTGTGTCGGCGGCTGCTTTTCAACAGCTATAGCATTTTCCACAAGTATGATTGCGGGCATGAGGCACGAGTTTATGTTTCAGAAGTTTCTGGTGAATTGTTTTTGCAGATTTTGTGCATATATATATATATATATATATATATATATATATATATATATATATATATATATATATATATATATATATATATATATATATATATATATATATATATATATATATATATATATATATATATATATATATATATATAGTGACGATGGAACGCTTTTATTTACAAGATGGGTAATGCAGAGGTGTAGCTCAGCGAAGGATCAACAGCGTCGCTCGCGAGCCAGTCGAGTCTCTTCCTCCTCTTCGTCGAATCTTCGATAGCGCGTTTCACTTCCCGGTTCGCAGACGATGCCCTCTGGGCGAGTCACTCAGATGGTTGATGGTGGCACGGTTTAAGGCGCGCAACGTGTGTCAGTTGTGTTTTGCTAGAACGGCGACCATTGCTTGTGACGCTCGAGATTACGTACGTGCCGTCGCTGAGGCGGTCAAGAATGACGAATGGACCGGAATATTGGGTCAAGAACTTCTGGCACAAACCACGTTTGCGGACTGGTGTACATAACCACACAAGATCGCCCTTACTATAAGATACGGAGCGATGGCAGGCGTCGTAACGTTTCTTAGAACGCTGCTGGGATGCCAAGGTTCGGAGGCGTGCGATGTGACGGGCTTCTTCTGCGCGGCAGAGCGTCTCGGCTATCGAGGTTTCCACGTCTACTGTAAAAGGTAGTATAGTGTCGAGACAAAATCGTGGGGAGCGAGCGTACAGCAGGTAAAATGGAGAGTAACCTGTAGTCTCATGCTTCGCGGTATTGTACGCGTACGTGATGTAAGGTAGCACTTCGTCCCAGTTTTTGTGCTTAGAATCGACATAAATAGACAGCATGTTCGTGAGAGTCCGGTTCGTGCGCTCTACGAGACCATTGGTCTGCGGGTGATATGGTGTGGCATGGCGGAAATGGCAGGCAGACAGACGCAGGATCTCTTCAACGACGTCGGCAACGAACTGACGTCCGTGGTCGCTAATGACAACGCGTGGAGGACCATGGCGGAGAATTATACAGCGAAGCATAAACTGCGACACGTGCATGGCCGTTGCAGCAGGTATTGCAGCAGTTTCTGCGTAGCGCATTAGGTGGTCAACACAGACGACGACTCATCGATTGTTACTGCTCGATCGTGGAAATGGACCGAGCAGATCGACACCAACAGTCTCGAAGGGAGAGTTAGGAGGTGGAACAGGATGGAGAAGTCCTGGCGGCGTAGCCGTGGGACGTTTGTGTCGTTGGCATTGTTCGCATCAAGCAACGTATTTTTTCGTGTCGTGTCGCATCTTGGGCCAATAGAACCTTTGCTAGATTCGTTGAAGCGTTCTGGCGAAGCCCATGTGGCCGCAGGTTGCGTCGTCGTGTAAGGACCGAAAGACGTGAGCCCGTAAAGTGCGTGGAACAAGTAGAAACAGACGGGCGCCTATGTCCGGAATAATTCTTCTTGTAAAGGACGCCGTCATGAACCACAAAAGAGCTTGGGTTTGCGTGTTCATTTGCGGAGGCGAACAGAGAATCTAAGGAGCAGTCCTCTTGTTGGGCTGCCCGGAAAGTCGCGAGATCAGGGAACTCAGAGGCAATAGCGCCGATATACTGGTCGAAGTTGTCAGCGTCGCACTCAGTCATCGGTAGAGGAAGGCGCGATAGGCAGTCGGCGTCTGCGTGCCGGTTACCGCTCTTGTAGCGTACTGTGAAGTCGAACTCCTGCAAGCGCAAAGCCCATCGCGCCAGTCGTCCAGATGGGTCTCGGAGGCCTACCAACCAGCATAGAGAATGATGGTCGGTGATTACCGAGAAGCGACAGCCGTAGATGTATGGGCGAAACTTGTGCACGGTGAAAACGACTGCGAGGCACTCCTGTTCTGTGACTGTGTAATTTCGTTCTGCCTTGCTCAACGAACGACTCGCGTAAGCGGCCACGTGTTCAGCATTGTCATGGCGCTGAACGAGCACTGCACCAAGGCCAATTCCACTGGCATCTGTGTGAATTTCCGTTTCAGCAGAAGGATAGAAATGGCGTAGTACCGGTCCTGAAGTTAGTATGAACCGAAGCTGCTTAAAGGCTGCTTCGCAATCCGGTGTCCAGTGGAAAGGGACATTCTTTTGCAGCAAGTCAGTCAGTGGTCGTGCTTTATCAGCGAAATTCGGAACAAATCGACGAAAGTAAGAACACAGGCCCAGGAAGCTACGCAACTCCCTGGGGGACTGCGGCTGCTTGAAGTTGCTGACAGCGGCGACTTTCTACGGGTCCGGTCTCACGCTATTTTTATCCACCAGGTGTCCCAGAACCAAGGTTTCACGTTCTCCAAAGCGACATTTTTTTTTAGTTCAGTGTAAGCGCAGCTTCCTCGAGACAGGTTAGAACGAGGTCAAGGCGATGATTATGTTCTTCAAATGTTCGGCCAAAAATCACCACATCGTCCAGGTAACACAGGCAAATTTCCCATTTGAGACCCCGTAAAACGGTGTCCATATATCTTTCAAATGTGGCGGGGGCATTACACAAGCCGAATGGTATAACATTAAACTCAAACAGACCGTCGAGTGTAACAAAGGCCGTCTTTTCTTTGTCAGCTGGATCCATGGGAATCTGCCAATACCCGGATCGCAAGTCCACCGATGAAAAATAGGACGCTGAATGCAGGCAGTCGATGACATAATCGATGCGAGGAAGCGGGTACACGTCCTTCTTAGTTATAGAGTTGAGACGTCGGTAGTCAACGCAGAACCTCCAGGACCCATTTTTTTTCTTGACCAAGATAACAGGCGCGGCCCAGGGACTTGACGATTCTTGAATTACGCCAGGGGTTAGCATCTCGCTGACTTGCTCTGAAATTACCTTGCGCTCTGACGCGGAAACTCGATAAGGTTTCTGTCTGAGGGGGTGCGCAGATCCGGTGTCGATCTTGTGACGAGTGCGTGTGCTGGGCGTCTGGGGTCTATGCCACTTCCGTGCAAAATCAAATACTTTAGCGTGCCTGGCCAGCAGTGTAACCAACACTTTGCGCTTATGCGAGGGAATAGACTTGATAACCATCTTATAAAATTCGTATTCCGTGCCGGATACATCAGCATAGTCCGAATTTGCCGCATTGCTGAGAGCTCCTATGCAGATACTGCACTGCCCTACAAACATGGAAAGGCGCATTCCCTCTGGCAGTACAACAGACTCGGATGAGCAGTTAACTACCCATAATTTAGTTTTTGCCTCGGTGACAGACACAACGCAGCGCAGCAGAAGGTGTTTTTCTTCATGCAAGGCAAAGGCAACGGCTCAATCACAATATCAGGAGAACTGAAACTCGAGTCGGCATTCGAAGCAGCAACGGGAACGCTGGCAGTACACCATGCCGGTAGAATAGCGTCTTTAACTACAACGAGGTTGTCGTCTCCGCTACGCTGCGGCTGCTGGGCGAGGGCGGACAACAGA